CTTCCCAAGGAGTATGAAAGCATCATGTTTTCACTTAACTTTGTTTTGACTAAAAGCTTTGTCTCTCCCACTGGGGCACTGTTTGTGGCACCCATCCCATTTCGTAGTTCCTTGTTAACATGAATCTACTCTGTTTTGTACCTGCTAGTCTGAATGCAAGAGTATATTCCAAGAAAATACTGAACTGCAAAGATGCATTGAAATCAAGACACTTTACATAATTCTACAGTACCCTGAGAGATTTTGAAAAGAGTCAGACATACTGACATCCCAGTAGAGCCAGGGAGACTTGTGAATATTTTACACTAGAGATTATTAGAAATTTGTTCCTCCCTAGTTACACAGCAGCAATTAAAAATCATTAACCTTTATCCAGCTTAGCTTTTCTGGTGACTATCAGCCTTATGATACTGACATTATCAAACTAGTATAACACGGTCATCAGTTTTGATGCTAGATTTTCCTTTCTTTTTAAACATCTCAAGGTAAAACCTAGTTTATATTGATGTCCAAGAAAACTTGCCCCAATAAAAGGATCTAATTTTACAAAAAAATTGTTATTTTCAAGAATATTCAATTAATTAAAATAGTGTTTTTCTGTACAGATCAACTCTTATTTGTGACAGTCTAAGCAGTGCTCAGACAGGTAAGTATGGAGGTTACCCCGCAGGCAAAACTAAAAATGTTAACAGGCTCCCTCCACTCTGTGTCCCAGCTCTGAGACATCAGTAAATACAGGTTGAGAGGCTGAAGGGGGAGATGATGCACTTTTCCATAGAATTTAAAGAAGTATTTTGGGGATTCAGATCCTTAAATCTCATTGGGTAGCCAGCATCTAAGGTGCTTTTTACAAAGCTTGAGCTTTGCTTTCAGGACAGTTGTGTTTTTAAATGACAAAACAGCAAGTCTTTAGGAAAGTCTATACCCTTCAGCTAATGCTCTGGATCTAACATTCTTGCATAGTGTAGAAAGAATATCTTTGGAAATGTGGAAAGAAAAATGAAGAAAGAAAACCTTCACATTGTGCAAACAGGTAGCACGCCATTTCTGGCACAAATATTCAATAGAGTGTGGTTTTGCATATGTTTTCATTCTCTCCCACGTGTGTGTGAACACACATATCACACATTTTAAATATAAACTACAGAGTGACAGGCCACAGTTATTAGGATGAGCTTTATTCTTGGTTCAAGAATGAATTTTTCTGCTAATATTTTTGTGCAGGATTTTCAGAGAGCAAGTTGAAAATGTTTACTGAAAAAAAATCATTTTATCCTGATACAGATAAAGAAGGCATAAGGGGTACTGCACAGTGCTATCTTTACAATATAGTTCACCAGTAGTCCACATTATTCTGGGACATCTCTTTCTAGAAAGAAAATCGTAATTACAGTACAAAACCAGAAAGGATGCAGTGAGTTTTCATTTAAGAAGATGCCCTGCAGCATCTGTTATGTTAGCTAGTGGCCACTCAAATGATGAAAACACTGCACAAAAAGTCCAGTACGCTGCTGTAAAATACAATCCACAAAGGTTTTGTTTTTTCTAATTGTCAATGAAAATCATATCAAAGTTACAGGGGAAGACATGCTTGGTCATATTAACAATTACTTCAGAGAGAAATCAGGTAAATGTCAAACATCAAATCAAGTTCAGATATTTTAATTGTTCGGTTTACTATATTTTTAAATACAGATGAAGAAAAACTTTAATTTCAATTTAGCCAAAATGTTTGAAATTATTAACTTATATGAGAGAATTTTACATCTAACTTCCATGTAAAGGAAAGAGATGCTGAGGTTTTCACCAGTTCAGGGATAATATTTCTCAACTCTGGATATAAGAATTTGAATCTAGTCTTTCTGGAAAAAAAAATAAAGAATGGACTCATGAACTCCACCTGCAAAACTGATGAATTTCCTTTTTTGAGTTATGGCTCTTAAAGGGCCCAACCTCTTGCTTACTACCTCTAAGAGCAGAGGTATTACCTTTTATGACCACTTTGTGGTCATCTGCCCCCAAGAGGAAGCACAGCTGGGTATGTAGAAGAAATCAGTAGTATAACACTATTTTCGTTTTTCCCCCTTCCCAAAATGGCGGAGGGACTGGGGAGAAATTGAACACACACACACACACACACACACACACACACACACACACACACACACACACATACACAAAATGGTTGTCATTCTCTTTGGTTTCAAAAAAAGATCCATTTTTTTTTCCCAGACCTTCTGCTAATTACTTGGTTTGTATTCCATGTACTTCTTTAAGTATCTGCTTGGAGACTAGAGACTACATAGCCTGTTTTTGTGTCCTCCTTTTCCCCTTTCCACTGTCTCTCCCTAATGAATTCAGAAAACAAGCCTGACAGAGGTTATCATTTTCTTCTTCTGACTTCCTGAATGGAGTTGTCTTCTCCTTTTTCTCTGCTATTCTTTAACTTTGCAGATGTGTTCCCAGGGCATCACTAGAAGGCAGATACACAGTGTTTACAGATCTGGTGATGAACTATGTTAATTTTACCCATCAGAGTGTAAACTGATGCTAAAATGAATGGATGTGAAAAAGATCAGCCAAAACTAGATAATGATCATTCCTGCAAGTAGCGTGAGAACCAACATAAATCCATGTTTTCTGTCTAAAATAATCCATCTCTATTGATCCTTTAACCTAATTTTCTCTGACTAAGATTCAATTTCCAAACCCAGTGCAGAAACAACTTTGTTTGATTATGTTAGATCTTGTTCAGTCCTTCACAGGCTCAAGGTATTTAATTTACTCCTATTATATATTTCTTTTAACTTCCTAGGCATTTCAGCACTGTCTGCTATCTAGATAGTAGACAAATTGAATGAGATTCATTTTTCTGTATATTGCATATAGATCAGACAGAGAGCATGAAACATAAGTCCTCCCACTAATACAAAATCTAGAAAGATTTGTGGGTCCTTAGATATTCAGTTTCTGTATCTATGAGTTTACTCCCGAGCTGGATAGCTGCTTACAAGTACAAGCTTTTGTTCAGAATTGGTTCGTACTTTCTAATGCTGTAAGTAACTTACCTTTTCATTTCAGTAAAGGTCTTTTGTGAACTAGGGCTGCGTTAAAGCATTTGATGCAGTAAGAGTTCATGCAACCCCTCAAGATAAGAGGTTAGCGTGCACTAGCCCCCCGGCATTGGGTCATGTACCCACACTGGGACACAGAGCACAGGCCATGGTGTGCTGAAAGGAGGTAACAGAACAGCTGCAGCATTGCGTGGCAGCTAGGAACGTGAGTTAATCTTACTGGAAAAAAGAAAGGGAGAGAGGAAATACTAGGTATATGGAGAGCTTAGACCACATCTAGCCAGAAATAAAACAATGACTAGCATAAGAATTCGAAGTTAGGTGTTTGAAAGGGAGTTAAACAGGGATTTTTAGGCTGGAAGTAGATGGGAATAATATCATGAGTGATGATACCGCTTTGAATTTGGCTTTCAGACCACGTTCGTTGGCCGAACAGCAGAATAGCAACAATGGGAAGTCTGTCATTTGAAAATGATGGTGCACGAAAAGGATCCGAAAGCTATTCTCCAGACACCCATGAGCCACCACTGACACAGTTATGAAATACTGTGCATAATTCTGGTTAAGGGTGCTTGAAACGATATCCTTCAACTGCAACAAGATGCAATAAAAGGGCAAGCTCAGTGAGACACCAGGAACTGTGGTAAGACACCTACAAGACTAGCTTGTCTTGATTAGCTCAGAAAAAGGCAAGCTGACAGGAGATTATTCATCCTAAATGCATCAGAGGTAAATACTAAAGAAAAGGAAAAGAACTTCTGCTGAAATTTAACACTCACAAGAACAAGGTAGCTATAGAAATATTTAAGTTATCTAACATAAAAAGACTTCTAATTATTGGAGCAATGAAGCTTTAAGGTCATCCTCCCAGTAAGAGTACAAAAGGTAGGAAATTCCTAAATTATTTCACACACTTATGACTGTTGCATTTGGCAATAGATTATTGAATTCAGTGACCATGGAGATTACTTCCAGTCCTGTGCCATGACAACAAATTCTGTAGGGTCATTTAAAAGTCCCAGAATTTCAGATCAGTGTTTATCTATATAAACAGAGGAAGTTCTCTGATAGCAATAGTTTATTTTCTGAGATTTGTTTTGTACAAAATGTAAATAATAATATGAAAATATTTCTCAGTCTTGTAAATTTTTAAAATATGGATAATTTTGTTCTAGTCAAAAGCAAGAAAAATAAAAAAAACAGAAAATCAACATAAAAGAAAGAGAAACAAGGGTCTTTTCCCTTGCAATCAGTTGATTTTGTTTAGACCAGATAAAGTATAGTTTATCACCAACTTACAAGCATTTAGCCATATGAGGTATACCAACAGATATTGATGATACACCTCTAATTAATCTCTTGGCTAACAAATTTGAAAGAGAACACAAAAGCTGAACAAAGAGAAAAAGCAAGCAGCATGCCTCTGCAGATGTGGATTTTTTTGGAAAAAGGCTGATAGTGTTACACCAATATACTATCCTATATATTTGCTTCATAAATAAAGCAGGAAATCTGAATTCCAGGGTTCTCAGATAAGAACTTTTATAAGCCTTCAATTCATGACAGCAATATATTAAAAATAATCAGAAAAAATGTTGTTTAGAAAATTTTAGTCTAAAAAAGCGTCTTTTCCATGATCAGAGTAAGTCAGGGTAAACAACCTCAGTTTTGACATAATTTCAATAAATATAGGAAACAGTCAATCTCTTTAGAATCCCAAAACTGCTGATTAGATGGTAACGCAGTTATGTTTTTCTTTCTCTCTGCAAACATTTAAACACATCCATAACAAGCCTCAGGTGAGTTGTATAATTAAACCTAAATTGAGTTTTGTGCACAGAGCCAGAAAAAGGTATTTGAATCATATCAATTAGCTTTAAATCTGAGTTTGCCTGTAGTGAAAAATGTGCAAATGCAACAACTTACCACTGCAATGAGCTTTGGACAAAGCATGTGATACCCAAAGTCAGTGGTCTTATTTAATTGATGAATCTTCACTGAACTCTGATGATACCATATCACGTACTCAGTGATTAACATCTGGATAAGTCTTTCAGATATCATTCTTCTTAATTTCATCAATTTCCATCATCCAAACTCTAGTAAAAATATAAACATAAACAAAAGAATCACTTTCTTGTTTTTAATAACAACTACAAACAAATAATTTGTAAAATAAATCATTGAAGGGCTGTTTCAAAGGCCCATAAATAAATGATAATCTACCTACTGAGTGGAGCAAGTATAGGAACAGGCTTAAGTGTTGTAGGTTAGTGATAGTCAGCTTCCTAGCTGGCTAGGCCACTAATCTTATTTCAATGGAAATGAAGGAGCCCTGTACTATAAAGTCTCTTTCCTTTCACATGAAAGGCGTATCTCACCTCAGGAATGATTATGCTATGCATGCACAGTAAACCCACTAGCTCCCCAAAGGGCCAGACCACATGTGTGCACAATGACAGATGGAGGAATGCCTCAAGAAACGTGGCAGTGAGGAGCAGGCCGTTGCCACCAGCAGTCATAATATTTTTTTCCGACCCTGAACACACCCCTTGGGTGTTTCTGTATTGCTTTCAGGAAAATAAGTGTTTGGAAGTGGCTCATGAGCCCAATTAATTGCCCTGCCAGGGCCATACTCTTTACAAGGTAGTGAGTAACTTGCAGAACATTTATTAGGTTGACTGTTTTCATGGTTAGATCTATCAATTTAATTACTTTCTCAAGACCTAAGCAAGCTCCTATTTGACAATTAAATGCTACTTTACAGAGCAAACCTTGACAGCACAACATTCTGTGATGCAACCTATGAAAGTTACCTTTATTTCAGTACTACAAACTAATAAAATAGTAATTAACTACATCAAGTGTCCTGATAGAAAACAGACCAGAATATTATCCAGTTAAGTCTTACCACAACTTCCTTATTTTTGAAATCCTCTTAATTTCACCAGCAACTCTTCAGCTGATTGAGTTTTCACATCTTTTACCTAACATACACACAACGAATTTTCATAGCTGTATCCAACTGCCTGCCTTCTCCTAGAAAACACCCTATTCCTTAACTCTACAGAATGTCAGAACTTTACTAGGCAGGAAAGGGCATCCTACAGTCCATATTGCTTTCACCATGTCTTTCCAAAATTGAGAAACATATAGGTTCAGTAGCATTAAGATCCCATAGATTCTCAGAGGAAGGACTTTTTGCCCATCTCTAACCCACAAGGATACTTAGCAGTACTATGGTAGAAATGACCTTTAAATAGGAACTCTGTGTTGGGGAAGATGTAAGAGGAGGGCAACATAACCGTTGCTGAACATAAGTTCATCTCTTTGGTTGCCTAATCTGTAAAAGTCTGAAGAGCTCTCTTGAGGTGGTTTAATTACAAAAATGATGCATTAAAAACAACTGCCAACAAAACCAATGTGATGAGGACAGTAGAAACTTTGCTAGTTACAAATTTAGCTTAGCAAGAGCAAAAACATAGATATGCCTTCTTTCGATACCGTTTTTCTTGAGAAACCGAGCTTAAAAAAGCCTACAGAATACCTTTCATATTGAAAAATACTGTCAGCAAAGCATATCTGTAATAAAAATTTTTCAATAATTTTCAAAAGATTATAAAAATCTAACCTTATTTTTGTTGTCATACAATATATTAAGGATAAATTTTGGAATGTCATCCTTGTGATGAGTTTAGTTCACCAGATCATCTGTGTGTAATAACACATATGGTGTACCTCTTTGAAATACAAATCAATTATTTTCAATCTAATACTAGCCAGAAGCTCTACTGCTAATTAACAAGTGAACTAGAGGATCCCTCTGTTACTGCTCATTAAAGAGTTCATTGCAAATGTTAAAAATTGAGATAAGCCAACACTACAGCACTGGTACAAGAAGAAGGCAGCAGATTTCCATATGGCCATGATTATTCAAACTTTCATACGAGTTTGAGGTTTTTTACTGGCTCCAGCCCTCCTTCTTGACTCATAGAAGCCTATTAATATTTTAATCAAATGATACAATGCTGCAGCTGTAATAGCATCATCGACTCATTCATTAATCCCATTATCACAAAATTTTTTCTGTAATAGCATAAACAATTAATGGATTAGGTACAATGGTGTTCAGCCAGTTATGGAAGGCAAGGTAAATGACACAAATCAATCAAAGTAATTTAAATATGACAATGCAGAATACTTCACACACAGAAAAGAAAGAAGTTGTTTCAAGTAGAAGCAATGGCAGTCTTTTTTCCCTTACCAAAAGCATCAAATAAAATAAATATTCCTTTTTTTTTTCATAAAGAGACCAAAAAGCTGAAATAATAGGAAGAAATGTAAAAGGAAAATATTCAGCTGCTCCTAAAGCTTCAGAGAAGGTGCAGCTAATGCAACAACAGAGATTTAGAGGAAGAAATACAGAGGAGACAAACTTTGTATCCTTATAGGCCACAGACCATAAACTAACAAAGGTCTCTGAAAAAGCATTAGCCAGAACCTCAGCCTGCATTACCTGATTTTCATCAACGAAACATGTGGGCCACTAAATAAAGGGAAGCTAGCAATGTAATGCCAGTGAAAGTTTCCTCTAGAAACAGAATTCTGCATTATCATTACAGAAAGATAAATTCCTCAACCAAGGACTGAATTAAAAAAAAATGATATGCATATGCTTACAATATAAATATGCTTCCTAATCTAGGGCTCTCTCTTCTCCCAAGAAAGAGCTCTAAGGAGAGCTATGATGGAATGGGAGATGAATCCTTAGAAGGTGCCTCAGTAGAGGGGTAGGCATTGTACGAAAGAGGGGAAAAATGGTGCATAAATAAATAGACCGCCTGTAATAATAATAAAGCTAGTTAACCCCAACTTTACTAACACTGACTTCTTTTTGAGTATCATATTGAGCCTGTATTTCAAAAATGAGGTCAAAAGCAGACACCCTCTGCTTCCTCTATTCGCTCAAATGCTCTTTCTGCCCCACATAGATTCACATACGCAAATAGTACCGTTTTGTATCCTCAGAATCAATGAGCTCTACCTAAAAGCTGCACATCAGAATATTAGGGTCTTTTTTTCCTGTGTCTTGATGGTCAGTGCCATTGTATTGTGTTTGCTGAAGTATGAGCATGCTAACGCTGGTGACCTAACCATCGCAGAGTGATAAGACATCTTCAGTACACATAGTAAACGCTGATGTCTGTTCTTTTAGACGGTATATTGCCTATCCACCTTCTGCAGACTGGCAGCATTACGCTCATTATTACGGTGATGCTAACTGATTTTCTAACATAACAGCTACATACAATTTGAAATGCCATTGGTCATATCAAAGAAAAAAATTATTTGGCATACTTTCAGAGAAACAGATTCATACTCACTTTGCAGTCCAGAAATCTTGGCAAGTACAAGTACAGATGACTTACTCCTATTAGAATAAAACCTGATTTCTAGACGCTATTCTGTATTAAGCAGTGCACTGTAAACAAGTCTAAGTTGCATTTGATTTCTTCTAATTTAAAGTATGTGCCATAGGACAATATACTCAACGACCTTACAGCTGAAAAGACCCAAGACAATGCTATCTTGTTCCCAAGTGATCATTATGTGCGTTTTTTTATTGCAATAATGCCAGTACTTGCATATTTTTCTACTTATTCTATAACAGCAATGCATTAGCAAGTTGCAAATAATTTTCCATTAGGCATGAAAAAAATCACATAGAGAGAGAAAATTTGGAGTTTGTAACCTCACTGTAGATAGAAGCCTGACTGCCTGCTCCCTTTCCTGTGCCCTTGACCCAGTTTTTTCTTAGTTTTCTCAGAGGGCAGCTCCTACTTTCTTCAGTTCATCAGCAAGAACCACCCTAATGATACCTTTTCCTTTCTTTTGGTTTTGGTGCCTGACGAAGGGTAACTTGAAGGTTGGGAAGATTAATGTTAGCATAAGTCCAGTAATACCCTGAGATGGAGCAAGCCTTGGAGCAAGGGGAGATTGTCCAAGACAAATATTTTAAAAAGCTTGGATTTCCTAGTTATTGTCAAGAAAATGTCCATTCCTAATGTTAAGGTCCTGAACCCATCACATGGATATGATGAAAGTCCCAAGATAAAAGCATCTAAAAAAATTGTGAGAAAACACTCTTCTTCCATAAATTTTTCATGAAAATTTCCAATACCCTGTTTGGAAAATATTAATAAGTGTTAAGCCTGAAGGAAAATGTGATTATAGCCTCAGCTGCCATCTCAGCCTATAATATGACACAAACAGTTACATTAAGGGGAAAAGAAAAAGATGGTTTACTCACAACATAGGAATTTAAGGTTCTTAATATATATACTCTTAACAAATAAAAATATTTATTCAACATGTACATTTTCAATTCAAAATATATTTGACATTATGTCTTTTATGTAAAAGTTAGAAATGGTCCTAGATCACAGAATCTACACAAGGACCGTAATGCTGTTTACAGAATCACAGAATCACAGAATGGTTGAGGTTGGAAGGGACCTCTGGAGATCATCTAGTCCAACCTCCCTGCTCAAGTACGGTGATCTAAAGCACATTGCACAGGATTATGTCCAGGTGGGTTTTGAATATTTCCAGAGGAGACTCCATCACCTCTCTGGGCAACCTGCGTCAGGGCTCTGTCACCCTCACAGTCAAGAAGTTTTTCCTCAGGTTCAGATGGAACTGCCTGTGGTTCAGTTTCTGCCCATTGCCTCTTGTCCTGTCACTGGGCCTCACCCTCTTGACACCCCCCCTTCAGATACTTGTACACATTTATAAGATTGCCTCTCAGTCTTCTCTTCTCCAGGCTCAACAGGCCCAGCTCTCTTAGCCTTTCCTCAAAGAGAGATGCTCCAGTCCCCTCCTCATCTTGGTAGCCCTCCACTGGACTCTCTCCAGGAGTGCCATGTCTCTCTTGTACTGGGGAGCCCAGAACTGGACACAGGACTCCAGGTGAGGCCTCCCCAGGGCTGAGGAGAGGGGCAGGATCACCTCCCTCCACCT